AACTTTAAAAGACAATGGTGCAAATCTAAGTTTAAAAACAGGTAGATCTGCTTTAATATCTGGGACACTCCCATTATCTAAGCACCTGTGATGTCATCAGTGTCTGGGGCACAGACCTGAGCCAAACTCTGTTAGGTTTTCACTACTTGGAGCTGGTTGGCTGTGAGAGGCTGGGCCAAAACTCAATGTTTTGGTTGTTTTTAAAGCTGAGGTACCTAACTTTCATCATGTTTGTTGTCTATGGTCCTGGAGGTCTTTTGCCACTTTTCCATAGTCACGGCACGGTACGGATTACCACAGACTTGTCACAAATCCAGAGCCATCTCCCTGAAAACCTCGCTCCGTTGAGCTGCTTTTGAATTCTCTCTTTGGCCTAAAGAGAGTAACGTGTGGACCTCGTCCACCGACCGCGGCCTTTTGGGGCTTTCTGTGCGATTCCATTTCTCTGGAGTGAGGAGGGCGTTATTAAAATAGATCCATGGGAGGACGTATTGAGGCAGAGCAGCCGGTTTTAAAGATGGCGGTTGGGTTGTTTTTACCAAAGGGTCGGACGTCGCCTCCAGTGACGACACTTGTTGACCAATCAGTGAAAGGCAGTCGCTGACGTCACGTCCACTAGGGTTGGGCGATCCTAAGCCCAACCATAGTGGAAATGCAAAATAACCGTGCCGTGCCGTACCGTGCCTTTACTGTGGAAAAGTAGCATTTGATGGGTGTATTTTAGTGAGTTCAATGTTTAAAGTTGAATGACTTCTGTGTTTGCAAATGTATGTGGTGTAAAGACCTGAGGTTTCCCCAACTCATATATTACTAATCCTCCCTTTATCTCTCTGTGATCCCAGTCCAGGACAGACCCTTGTTACACTACGACTCCCAGAATTATGAAACTACCAGAGCTCCCAGAGCAGTCTTTTTGATGGCTCTTGTTCAAATCAATGCAATTAAAAGAAAAATCCCCCAAACAGTTTCAGTTTTTGCTTAAATAAGAAATGATATGGTTTCTTTAATACATGCTAAAACTCGTTAGCCTGTTGAAAGGTAAACGAACGCTAACTGCAGAAAGTAAACAGTGTGTTGCTATGGTAACTAGTAACTCTTCTCAAGATCAGCTCAGACCAGTGTTGAAAAATGACACAGGGTCTGGGCTCGTGTCAAGACTTTTATTGATGCAAAAACCCAACATTCAGAATTAATGTGGTTATAAACGAGATGATTCAGGGTCCTCCTCCTCGTGACGGTGCTATGCTAGTTCACCAAGACAATCAAGTGGAAAAAAACCTAACATTCAGGCTTAGGCCTGGACTCCACCGGGCGCGTCTCCGTTGACGCGTGTTGGCTGCTGTCCGTCGGACGTCCGTAAAACGGAATAGTGGTCAAACCGGCTGCAGCAGCAGCTCTGGCTGTGCGTTTATCAGCCTGCTTTGTTTTTGTAGGAGACACGTTTGGGCATTGTGTGAATAAATGAATGTTTGGCTGATGGAGGAGTCATGTGTTGTCGGCGTGAGTGTGGGCGTGTGCGTGAGAGCGCCTGTGTGTGTGTGTGTGTGTGTGTGTCTGTGTGTGTGTGTGTGTGTGTGTGTGGGAGGCGTGTGCGTGCACACTGTAAACCCTAACTTCAATCCTACTTCAGATATCAAAGTTATTTTAAATAGATTTTTCCCAGTAAGTAGATATGACTCATTTATTGTTAGTTTATTTAAAGCTTGCCTATGTCACTCAGGGTTTTCTTTGAATTGAACTGTTTCTGTTCAAGTAAGCCTCACTTTTGACATTTTGACGTGTAGACTCTTTAATGAGGCAGGTGTGACAATGGCAGGGTGGCCTGGTGGCTGAGTGGGTAGCACCATTGCCTCTCAACTACAGGGTTCTGAGTACGAATCCCGGTCGAAGTAGAAATTTAAACTTTATTGTAATCACTTGAGTTGACTTGGTAATATCAAGTAAAGGATGTACTCGAGGAATTCAAGTGAAGTTAATACGCAATTTATTTCCATGGTTTTTTCAAGTAAACTTTACTTGTCAGGGTTTACAGTGCATGTGTGTTTGGGCCTGTGACCGCAGCGTTTATTATGATCCAGCCTCTTCGTTTGTTTTCTACTTATTTTGCGCGTCATACACTTTTATGGGACCCAACTCGCCTCTCCGCGGCTTTAGGCAACAGGCAGCCGCTATAGTTTTAAATAGAAGAAGCGGTGTGTGATGTGTATGAGCTGTGGCTATGATCAGTGCAAAGCACAGCATATTGAAGCATTGAGGACGTCGCGATGGATGAAACTTATTGAAAGCAATTGGAAAAAGGGGAGAAAGAAAAGAACTCCAACATATCCAGTCTTGTGAGATCTGTCTCTCATAAGTGCAGCTCTGTGTGTGTAATGTGTGAGTGTGTGTAATGTGTGTGTGCGGTGAGGAGAGAGCGCCTTGGAGGTAGACGGGGACAGAGCGAGAGCAAAAAGAGCGAGAGTTTAGCGTATTAACATTACGCAAAAAATAAATGGTAGATTTACGATCAGGAAACAATTATTTAAATTAATACATGAAAAAAATTACACACGTTTGTTAATGACAATGATTATTAACAAATACTTATAACCAAGGACTACAGCATATATCAATACATGTTTAATAATGTGGTAAATATACTATTCCTTTGTATTTTCAATACGGACCCGACACGGAAAAGATAGGATTGTTTCTATTTCGTCCGTCCGCGTCCGTTGCACCCTCCGTGGACGGAGCCACTTCCATTCACCCTCATGGAGATAATGGAGACCGAGATGAAACGGACACGTTTGGACGGATCCGTCGTCCGTTTTACGCGCCCGGTGGAGTCGGGGCCTTAGGTTTAACCAAAATTGCTTCTGTGTTTGCTCTGTGTGTGTGTTTGTTTAGTGTGTGTGTGTTTAGTGTGTGTGTGTGTTTAGTGTGTGTGTGTTTAGTGTGTGTGTTTGTACTATGTGTCCTTAGAAACACGCGTCAGACAGTTGGTGACAGGATCTTGACCAAAGCGCAGGTAAAGGTCAAGGTGAGCAGCTGCAGAGGCCTCACAGCGACCGGCCCCTCCTCCGCCTCTGTCTGGCGCTGCAGACACGGTGACATTTGGATAAAAACCAGTCCCCGACCACAGGGGCCAGCGCAAGGTCAGACAGGCAGAGATGGGGGTCTGAGTGTGACCTCCACCCGGGTCAGCTGTTTGTCCAAAGATGGCGACGCTCCGGGAGATGACGTCAGGTCTGTTGTATATTTGAACGTGTGAAATTCTTCTGCAGTTTGCTTCATGCAGCAGGGTCTGAGGACAGTGAGGATCCGGGACGTTTAAGAAATCTCTCCCCCATAAACATTGGTCATCTCTCGGCACAGGGAGAGAGGGTTGTTCCGGGCGCTGTAGTTCATCTGTCTCAGACCTGGAGTTGTTTATGGACCAGGGAGTTTAGCTTCAAGCTGCTTTACCGTGGAACCAGCTCCCCATCCACATCACGGACACAGGCACAGTCTCTACATTCAAGGCTTTAAACAGTCCTCTTTAACTCATCACATGGTTTTCCAGGGAAGACTCAGGGAAGACATCCTTAAGTCTAAACGTGAAGCTGCATGGACACACTTATCTGTTTTTTATTTTTATGACTTTGTTCTCTGCCCCTCATGGACCAATGACTCTGTGTTTTTATCACTGCATTTCATGTGTTTGGACTGTTTGATTCTCTGATCTGTGTTGGCGAATTGACAGCTTTGTTAGAGGTAAATGGGAAGATTTTCTTCTTTCGGGTGGATCATATAGACCAGGGTTGAAAGAGTTGAATTGACAACAACTTGAAGAATGTAAAAGACAGTACATATTCATAATTCTTAATACTTACTATGTTGACATTCTAGAGAGAAACATAAGTTGCAAAAAATAAACTAGATTGTCTGTCTGTTGTCATGATAACAGTTGCCATAGTGACGGTGTGAACAAACTGTGATCATTGCAATAGCAACCTGTTATCATGGTGAATATCGCCATAGCAATTGTGACAATAGCAACCGTTGCTATGGATATCTATCCCTACAACCATCACTATGGCAACAAGAAACCAACTCCCAAAAATGAAGTTGCAGGAAATTTGCATTTAAACAAGATTAAGCAGATAATCTGGCCGTTGTTATGGTTACTGTTGTGATTTAGGACTAAACAAAGAACATTGAACTGAATTGAATTGATGGACCGTCCAGAATGATATCCTGAATTGTAGTAAAACACTCAGTGATTGTGAGAAGTTTTTCTCCTGCTTTGATCAAACAATGATATATTTCCTTGTTGCCAGCTCCAGAGTCTGTCGCTGCCTCAGGACTACAGTTGGAAACTCGCTGTAAAGCTAATACTGACACATTTACAGTAATGTTGATTAATGTTACTGTCCCTCTACATTTGGCCTAGTTCCACTGCTGTGACCCGCCCTAAGGGTGGTCTCCCATCCGCCTGGTGACCTTGCCTCTGTCCCTTCACTCTCCGCAGCTCGTCTAATCACTGGTCTAATGTAAATGTAAATGTGTGGAGAGCAGGGCTCTCATCTCTGGATCAGCTCTTTGTGAGGCCCGAGCTGTGGGAGACATGAGCCTAGAGAAGCCCCCACCTCAGGGGAGGAGCTGCCACCTCCTCTCCCCCATCAGGGGACGAGCCACCTCGTCTCCCACATGAGGGGAGGAGCTGCCACCTCCTCTCCCCCATCAGAGGACGAGCCACCTCGTCTCCCCCATCAAAGGAGGAGCAGCCAACTCGTCTCCCCCATCAGGGGAGGAGCTGCTACCTCGTCTCCCCCATTAGGAGAGGAGCTGCCACCTCGTCTCCCCCATCAGGGGAGGAGCTGCCACCTTGTCTCCCCCATCAGGGGAGGAGCTGCCACCTCGTCTCCCCCATCAGGGAAGGAGCTGCCACCTCGTCTCCCCCATCGGGGGAGGAGCTGCCACCTCGTCTCCCCCATCAGGGGAGCTGCAACCTTATCTCCTCCATCAGGGGCATGTGTGAGAGAAGGCGACATGAACACACAAAGTTGTCAATTCACCAACAACAGATCAGAGAATCACAGTTTTAACACAGGAAATGCAATAATAACAAACACATTGGAGCCAGGGGCGACATTAGCTCAGTTGGTAGAGCATTGGCCTTTGGGCCTGGAGGTCGTGAGTTCGATTCCCACCATGGGACCTACTCCAACTGCTCCCACTGATGACTGCTGCCGTTGTGTCCTCAAGACACAAGTCAAGACACTTAACCCCACATTGCCTGAAGCCCCCCGCTGAAAGATCAAGGCTGTTTCATAATTGACGGAGCAGCCATCTTCCTGTGGACTCACCCCGTGCAGAAGATCAGCGAGGAACTGGTGCTATGAGCGTTGGGTGGCAGCTCTCATTGCCACCCCCCCGACCCAGAAACGGACAAAGGGGTTGAAAATGAAATGAAATGAAAAAAATGAAATGAAACATTGGAGCCATTGGTCGATGGGGAGCGGGAGAAACACTCCAGAAATGTTCATACATGTCCTGGATCATCACTGTCCTTCAAGGACTGAGGCTGTTGATCCAGGACTGAGGCTGTAGACCCAGGACTTAGGGTGTAGACCTCAGTTGGTGGTGGTGGGAGGGGCCGATGGCACAGACCGGTTGCTTCACTTCTGCCCCAGGGCAGCTGTGGCTACATCAGTAGTTTATCACCACCGTGTATGGAGTGAATAAATAATGATGTGAAGCGTCTTCGAGAGTCCATAAAAGTGCTTTAATAACAATTGCATTTGTACTATTCTGTTATTATGCTATGCTACGCTAAAGGCACATGTGGCTGGCCTGGGAACGCTTCAGGGTCCCCCCGGAGGAGCCGACGGAAGTGTGTGAGGAGAGAGTGTTTCCACGATCATCAGAGGACAGACCCACAGCAGACGTGTGAGTGGTTCAGTGTGAGGAGAACCGAGCAGAGACAGACAGTGTGGGACATCGGTGAGCGTGGATGGCAGCTGGCTCGGGCTGCTGGCTCGGGCTGCTGGCCGGATGCATGCGGAGGCAGAGGAGCGTAGCAGCCAACTGGCCCAGGACAGAGGCAGAGCTGGGGCTGTGGCACTGAGCTCCACAGACAAGGTTAAACCAGCCCCCACGGGTCTGTCTTTGTGCTGCGAGGCCTCAGTCGTCTCACATTAAAGTTTACACGCTCAGAGACTGGACACTTTGGACCGAAATCCAAACTAATCAGAGTGAATGCTTTTCTTCTAAGCAGCTTGTTACATCATGTCATATTCCAAGGACTCGCCAAAGTGCAACAGGTGCGAGGACGGCACTTAAAGAAGGAGGTGCGTCTGGTGCAGTGTGGATGCAGCTGAAACAACTGATATGGGAGTTTGGAACATCGTCAACACCAGGAAACTACCAGAACCCCCAGAAGATAAGATAAGATAAGATTGCTTTATTTATCTCACATAGGAGAAATGTACATGTCACATTTGGCAAGGATAGAACACTCAGATTGTGCAAAAGGACGAAATGTGCAAACATGTTACATGCAGGATATGTGTACAATAAAAGTGACAATAATTATGTACAACAAAGTGACACGTGTCAATTGGAAACAGTGTCAATAGTAGTGCAGGTTTTCACACAGTGATCATTTAAAGTGACTTATTGTACAGTCTGACAGCGGTGGGGATAAAGGCCCTGCGGTAGCGCTCCTTCCTACACTGAGGGTGTCTCAGTCTTCCACTGAAGGAGCTCCTCAGCTCCTCTACAGTCCTGTGCAGTGGGAGCTATTGTTCATGATGGAGGTGGCTTTGACTAGACCCTCCTGTCCCTCACCTCCTCCACAGAGTCCAGGGAGCAGCCCAGAGTGGAGCTGGCCCTCCTGACCAGCTTGTTCAGTCTGTTTCTGTCCCGCTCTGTGCTGCCCGGGGCCCAGCACACGGCAGCGTAGTAAATGGCAGAAGCTACCACAGAGTCATAAAAAGTCCTGAGCAGAGGCCTGCTCACTCCGAAGGACCTCAGCCTCCTCAGAAGGAAGAGGCGACTTTGGCCCTTCTTGTGCAGGGCGTTTGTATTATGGACCAGTCCAGTTTATTGTTTATGTGAACACCCAGGTACTTGAAGCTGTCCACCAGCTCAATGTCCTCCCCCTGGATGTTCAGCGGCGTGTGGGAAAGTGGTTTTCTCCTGAAGTCATGGTCATCTCCTTGGTCTTACTGGTGTTCAAGCACAAGTGGTTGCACTCACACCAGTCGACAAAGTCTGTGATAACCGACCGATATTCCAGTTCGTTCCCCTCAGACACACAGCCCACGATGGCGGAGTCGTCTGAGAACTTCTGCAGGTGACAGCTGTGTGTGTCGTGTGTGAAGTCTGAGGTGTAGATGGTGAAGAGAAACGGTGAGAGGACAGTGCCCTGAGGGGCCCCAGTGCTGCAGGCTACCACCTCAGACTCACAGCTGCGCAGTTGCACGTACTGTGGTCGGTCTGAGAGGTAGTTGATGGTCCATGCAGTGAGGCTACTGTCCACTCCCGCGTCCTCCATCTTCCCCTGCAGCAGAAATTAGCCCAAATTATGTTTAGTTTTTCACCAGATTTAATAGAAGTAATTTAATTCTGATTTTTTCCTTCCTTTTCTTGTACTAAGAGCTTTCTTGCTGAATGTTTGTATTGTATTCTGTACATTGAATTGCGACTGTAACTATGTTGGCGACTTCCTGAACTGTATTTTATTAAGAGTGTAATGATTGTTTTGTCGAGGACTACAGATGGAGATCCATCCATTTTCTTCCCCTTAATCCATTTCTGGGTCGGGGGGGTGGCAGTCAGAGCTGCACCCAGTACACAGAGCACCAGCCCCTCACTGATCCTCCTGCAGGTGGTGAGTCCAAAGGAGCTGAGATCTTTTCAGTTGGGGCATTGGGCAAAGTAGGGGTTAAGTGTCTTGCCCAAGGACACGACAGCAGTTATCAGTGGGAGTCATGATGTAGGTCTTACGGTGGGCTCGAACCCACAACCTTCAGGCCCAAAGGCCAATGCTCTACCAACTGAGCTACTGTCGCCCCCCGGATGGAAAGTCGCTGTTGCTAAATCTGGTGCAGCTATATTTTGTTAACTGCACATTGTCCTTAATAAACTAAACTCTAAAACTGGTGACTAAAACTTGAAATCCATCAAAAACAGTTTGTTGAAAGGCTAATGCTAAAGACCAAATGCTAAATGCAGACAGTAAACAGTGTGTTGCTATGGTAACCTGCTCTTCTCTGGTGGAAAACCAAACTGAACCAGAACCTGGAGAAAAGGGCTTTAAACCATAGAAAGATAGAAAACCGCTGCATTTGAATTTTAGTTAAAGGTTGAACTCTTCACATTTCTCAAATAGAGATAATTTCATGAAAGTTATGACAGAAAGGATCTACATAAGGAAACAGAATAAGCCGGCAAGTTATGAGGAGAAAAAAACGTACACGAGCTGAGTAATTGCACTTCCAAAACTAAAAGCCATCAACTTGACTGCTCTGGTGGTTCTGGCGTGAAGAGCTCCGAACATTAGCATCATGTGTCCTTTCAGAAGGTGGGGTTCTCTCTGTGGAAGCCTCGACCTGACTCTGATCACATGTAAAAGTGCTCATTATGTGGAGAGTGGATGTTCTTTCTCCTCCTTTATTAAGCCTGGGCCGGAGTGCGGGGGTCAACCGTCCCCTGTGCCGTGTGCCGCCGTCTACGACAGATTACATTAGCGCCGCATTCATTAAACATTCTTCAACCGCGACAGATGAATGGACTCTCACAGAGACACTGTACAAAGGCCGATACTGTACAGAGACTGATACTGTACAGAGACCCACACTGTACAGAGACTGATACTGTACAAAGGCCGATACTGTACAGAGACTGATACTGTACAGAGACCCACACTGTACAGAGACTGATACTGTACAGAGACTGATACTGTACAGAGACAGACACTGTACAGAGACTGATACTGTACAAAGGCCGATACTGTACAGAGACTGATACTGTACAGAGACCGACACTGTACAGAGACTGCTACTGTACAGAGACTGATACTGTACAGAGACAGACACTGTACAGAGAGACTGATACTGTACAGAGACTGATACTGTACAGAGACTGATACTGTACAGAGACCGATACTGTACAGAGACTGATACTGTACAGAGCCTGATACTGTACAGAGACTGACACTGTACAGAGACCGACACTGTACAGAGACTGACACTGTACAGAGACCGATACTGTACAGAGACTGACACTGTACAGAGACTGATACTGTACAGAGACTGACACTGTACAGAGACTGACACTGTACAGAGACTGATACTGTACAGAGACTGACACTGTACAGAGACTGATACTGTACAGAGACTGACACTGTACAGAGACGATACTGTACAGAGACTGACACTGTACAGAGACTGACACTGTACAGAGACTGATACTGTACAGAGACTGACACTGTACAGAGACTGACACTGTACAGAGACGATACTGTACAGAGACTGACACTGTACAGAGACTGATACTGTACAGAGACTGACACTGTACAGAGACTGACACTGTACAGAGACCGATACTGTACAGAGACTGATACTGTACAGAGCCTGATACTGTACAGAGACTGACACTATACAGAGACCGACACTGTACAGAGACTGACACTGTACAGAGACCGATACTGTACAGAGACTGATACTGTACAGAGACTGATACTGTACAGAGACTGATACTGTACAGAGACCGATACTGTACAGAGACTGACACTGTACAGAGACGATACTGTACAGAGACTGACACTGTACAGAGACCGATACTGTACAGAGACTGACACTGTACAGAGACCGATACTGTACAGAGACTGACACTGTACAGAGACCGATACTGTACAGAGACTGACACTGTACAGAGACCGATACTGTACAGAGACTGACACTGTACAGAGACTGATACTGTACAGAGACTGATACTGTACAGAGACTGACACTGTACAGAGACCGATACTGTACAGAGACTGACACTGTACAGAGACTGATACTGTACAGAGACTGATACTGTACAGAGACCGATACTGTACAGAGACTGACACTGTACAGAGACCGATACTGTACAGAGACTGACACTGTACAGAGACTGACACTGTACAGAGACTGATACTGTACAGAGACTGATACTGTACAGAGACTGACACTGTACAGAGACTGACACTGTACAGAGACTGATACTGTACAGAGACTGACACTGTACAGAGACTGATACTGTACAGAGACTGACACTGTACAGAGACGATACTGTACAGAGACTGACACTGTACAGAGACTGATACTGTACAGAGACTGACACTGTACAGAGACGATACTGTACAGAGACTGACACTGTACAGAGACTGACACTGTACAGAGACGATACTGTACAGAGACTGACACTGTACAGAGACTGATACTGTACAGAGACCGACACTGTACAGAGACTGATACTGTACAGAGACCCATACTGTACAGAGACTGACACTGTACAGAGAGGATACTGTACAGAGACTGACACTGTACAGAGACTGATACTGTACAGCTACCTGCCAAAGCTCACAGCTCCTTCAAATAAACATCTGTGGAGGAGGAATTTACATCAAATGGATATTACAGACTTGTTCAATAGACAGACGTCTTGGAGAGACCTGAGGCAGACATTTTGGAGAGACCTGAGGCAGACATGTTGGAGAGACCTGAGGCAGACATGTTGGAGAGACCTGAGGCAGACATGTTGGAGAGACCTGAGGCAGACATGTCGGAGAGACCTGAGGCAGACGCCTTAGAGAGATGTCTCCACTTACATTGTAAATATTACTGAAACTGATCACCTATGTGAATATTCACTCTGTTGTCTGTGCTAGCTTCTTGTTTGTCTTATTGTATTTGTTTGTATGTCTGCACCTGTTTGTATGTCATTTTTCAACAATAAAGGAAAAAAAGAGATCTTGGAGAGACCTGAAACAGACATATTGGAAAGACCTGAAGCAGACATATTGGAAAGACCTTTAGCAGACATCTTGGAAAAACCTGAAGCAGCCATCTTGATGCAAAAAAGACAACACATTGGATGAATCTGACTCATACGAACACCTCATGGTTATAAATGTTTTCTTTAATATTACTGCCTTTACCCTGGACCGTACTCTGTTCACGGACCAGCTCCGGTCACGGACCGTGCTCCGGTCACGGACCGTGCTCCGGTCACGGACCGCTCTGGTCACGGACCGTGCTCTGGTCACGGACCGTACTCTGGTCACGGACCTCTGGACCACAGCGAGAGGTGACGTTCCTCCGGAAAAGCTCGCTCTCCTCTGATAATGGAATTTTAAATGTCCTGCTCCTTAATAACTGGAGCTTTATTAAAACCTGAGCACGCGCTGCCACAGTGCCTGTCTCTGTTGCACATTAATTACTTTTTACGAAGTGAAAAAGGGAGAAAAAAGTCCAATCCGTCCGCGGTTAAATTGGAAAGATATATATTTGTGTTGCTGTTATCTGCGGCAGCTGAATCCTGAGAGAAGAAGCACAAAGAGGCTGACGTCACCGACTCCACTGAGCTAACCACACTGAGCTAACCACACTGACTTGATTAAAGTTGCTGTCTTACTGTGTTCTTCTATTGTGCACACTAAATAAATACTGAGTGTGTTTCACAGGGATCCAGGTCCAAAGGAGCCGCTGGACGCCATCTTGAGGGTGAGTGTCCACCACCGCAGCTTGTGTGGCCTTCTCTGGCTGCTCCTCAGCGTCTCTCTGTGAACTCTTCTCTTATTGTTCTGTTCCAGCGTCTGCAGGAGGACGTGGTGACTTTTGTCAAAGAGCCATGTGTGATATTACGACCACTAACTGACATTTGGATTTGACTGATGCTTTAATTCTGGTTCAATTCATTGCCCTAAACAGAGCCGGCGCTTCCTATACGCAGACTACGCAGTATGCGTAGGGCCCCGCAGCTGGAAGGGCCCCGGAGTGCGGGGGCTCTCACTCGTGCTGTTACGAGGCCCTTCATTTCCGGAATCACCCATTTGATTGGTTGTTAAAGTTGTCACTTGCTGTCTCCCATAATCCTCATACGTTACGTCCTTACGTCGCACTTTCAACCCTTCCCTCCCTCCCCCTTGTTGTTGTCAGTCGCACAGCCACAGCAGAGGCAGAGACGCTGAAGCAGAGTGATGAAAAAAGGAAAAAAGACAGCGAACTGCGGGAACAACAGACGGGTAAAAAAACGTGTGGTTCCCGACCCGACGCATTGACTGTCTGCAAAGAAAGTTTAATATTGTGTCTGACATGTTTTATTTCTACTTTTAACGAGTCCCAAAACAACTTCGTCAGTCAAGCTCTTTGTTGTGGTTAAGGTGGACACCTTCAAAATAAACGTGCTTCCTTTGATAATCGGAAGTATTTTGTTACATTTGTAATTTAGACATAATACTAACAGTGTTTGTATAATGCGCTACTAATATTAATATTAAGGTAATATATTAATACTAGTGGTGATAATAATGAAACTAGTTATTATTTTTATTTTATATAAAATGTATATATATATATAATTTATATATATTATATACTTATATTATAGCTAATATTTGTATTTTGTTTATTTTTGTATTTTAACATGTTTGTACACTTGTCTTATGTACACAATTTATTCTATCCGTGCCAAATGTGACATGAACATTTCTCCTGAGTGAGATCAATAAAGTCTTACTTATCATATCTTTAATCGTGTGTGAAAAGTTCAAATGTATTTTTATCTTCGGTTGAATCCATCACTAATCAAGTCTGCTATCGCTTGATTACTGTGAATTATTTATTTGTAATATATATGTGTAATGGAACTTATGCTTGCTTTAATTTTTATGGTTTCTTGAGTTAGGTCTATAGGGCCCCTATGCTGACTTCTGCTTAGGGCCCCAACAAGGCAAGCACCAGCTCTGGCCCTAAATCACAGCAGTAGTTACCTCCGAGGACTTTACTAAATCATCAAATTCAGCAAAAGATCAGAGAAACAGGCTGTAGATCCAGGACTGAGGCTGTTGATCCAGGACTGAGGCTGTAGATCCAGGACTGAGGCCCCCCCCCCCCCCCCCTGTCCTCCTCTGTCCTCCCTGTCCTCTCCTGTCCTCCCCTCTGTCCTTCCCTGTCCTGCCTCAGTCTGCAGCAGCCTGTCGGTGGTTATTGGCTGCAGACGCTGAAGAAGCTTCAGTATAAAGTCATATTTGTGTTTGTGTTGGAGCTTGTGGTGAGTTCAGTGAAGGAAATGAAACCTTGAGCACAGATCTGTCCCACAGAGGACACAGAGGACACAGAGGACACAGCAGCTGTAGACGTCTGCACCAATAACAGCACTTCCTGTTTGTCTGAGAATTTGTCTCTGAACCAGAGCAGATCCAGTGTTTTACTCTCAGTGTTGGACCATCACTGCTCAGCCCCTGAAGCGGCTGCTGATTGGCTGATCGTAAGTTTAGGTCATTTAGATGATAGTGTTCGACCAATCAGATGGAGGGGACACAGAGGACAGAGGTCCTGAGACAAAGGACAGAGGTCCTGAGACAGAGGACAGAGGTCCTGAGACAGAGGACAGAGGTCCTGAGACAGAGGACAGAGGTCCTGAGACAGAGGACAGAGGTCCTGAGACAGAGGACAGAGGTCCTGAGACAGAGGACAGAAGACACATGTCTTTGATGAGAACATGTATCTGATGAGGACAGATGTCTCTGATGAGGACATGTCTCTGATGAGGACAGATGTCTCTGATGAGGACATGTCTCTGATGAGGACAGATGTCTCTGATGGGGACACATGTCTCTGATGAGGACATGTCTCTGATGAGGACAGATGTCTCTGATGAGAACACATGTCTCTGATGAGGACAGATGTCTCTGATGAGAACACATGTCTCTGATGAGGACATCTCTCCGATGAGGACATGTCTCTGATGAGGACATCTCTCTGATGAGGACATGTCTCTGATGAGGACATGTCTCTGATGAGGACAAATGTCTCTGATGAGGACACATGTCTCTGATGAGGACATGTCTCTTATGAGGACACATGTCTCTGATGAGGACATGTCTCTGATGAGAACACATGTCTCTGATGAGGACACATGTCTCTGATGAGGACAGATGTCTCTGATGAGGACATGTCTCTGATGAGGACACATGTCTCTGATGAGGACATGTCTCTGATGAGGACACATGTCTCTGATGAGGACATGTCTCTGATGAGGACACATGTCTCTGATGAGGACACATGTCTCTGATGAGGACACATGTCTCTGATGTGGACACATGTCTCTGATGAGGACATGTCTCTGATGTGGACACATGTCTCTGATGAGGACATGTCTCTGATGAGGACACATGTCTCTGATGAGGACATGTCTCTGATGAGGACATGTCTCTGATGAGGACAGATGTCTCTGATGAGGACATGTCTCTGATGAGGACAGATGTCTCTGATGAGAACACATGTCTCTGATGAGGACATCTCTCCGATGAGGACATGTCTCTGATGAGGACATCTCTCTGATGAGGACATGTCTCTGATGAGGACATGTCTCTGATGAGGACAAATGTCTCTGATGAGGACACATGTCTCTGATGAGGACATGTCTCTTATGAGGACACATGTCTCTGATGAGGACATGTCTCTGATGAGGACACATGTCTCTGATGAGGACACATGTCTCTGATGAGGACATGTCTCTGATGAGGACACATGTCTCTGATGAGGACACATGTCTCTGATGAGGACATGTCTCTGATGAGGACACATGTCTCTGATGAGGACATGTCTCTGATGAGGACATGTCTCTGATGAGGACAGATGTCTCTGATGAGGACATGTCTCTGTGCTGATGTGTGTTGCTCTGACAGTTGATATGTCTTTGCTCAGTGACAGTGGAGTTGTTGCTGTCCTCGGGGATGGTCCTGGTGTCGTGGAGGATGATGGATTACACTTGGGTAGGTGTGTGTGTGTGTGTGTGTGTGTGCGTGTGTGTGTGCGTGTGTGTGTGTGTGTGTGCGTGCGTGCGTGCGCGTGTGTGTGTAGGTGTGTGTGTGTGTGTGTCTGTGTGTGTGTGTGCGTGCGTGTGCGCGTGTGTGTGTAGGTGTGTGTGTGTGTGTCTGTGTGTGTGTGTGCGTGCGTGCGTGCGCGTGTGTGTGTGTGTGTGTGTGTATTTGTGTACACTGCAAAAAGTGATAAAGTGCTAACATTTTGCTAAAAGTATTTTAATTTGAGCACATTGTGAGAGCCCTAAAACAGGATTTATCGATTGGAAAAAGCAACTTAAAAAGATACAGAAATGTTTCCTTTGGAACGAGAAAATAAAGCAACGGTTTTTAAAATCAGACTAAACATCTTTGTCCCGTCGGAGAATCTAGTTTAACACAGTCAAAATGTGTAGGCGTGTGTGTAAGTGTGTCTGTTTAGGAGTGTGTAAGTGTGTCTGTTTAGGAGTGTGTAAGTGTGTCTGTTTAGGAGTGTGTAAGTGTGTCTGTTTAGGAGTGTGTAAGTGTGTCTGTTTAGGAGTGTGTAAGTGTGTCTGTTTAGGTGTGTGTAAGTGACCAGAGAGAGACCAGAGAGAGACCAGAGAGAGACCAGAGAGAGATCAGAGAGAGACCAGAGAGAGACCACAGATAGAGACCAGAGAGAGACCAGAGAGTGCCAACCTTCAGGCTCAGTTTGTTCAAGACGTTAGACGAACATCTCCAAAGCTCCTGACACTGACCCAGAGCTGCTGCCTCTCTGTGCTTCCTGCTGTCCGGCTGATGGAGTGGCCTGCTCGGTCCAGCTCGGTCCAGCTCTGTCCAGCTCTGCATCTGCACCGCGGGGTCAGTGGTTCAGTTCCCCGGTCATCCATCTGCGTCGCGCTCCCAAAACGATCTGCTGTGTTTGATGTCGGAGAAAACATCTCATTCGCGGCAAACGTCAAACGTGTCCCTGCGGCGAGTGGACTTTGTCACCGGATCAACGAGGAGACATTATCACTGTGTGTTTGTCCAGAGGGAGAGGGAGGGAGAGGGAGAGGGAGGGAGAGGGAGGGGGAGGGAGAGGGAGGGGGAGGGAGGGGGAGAGAGAGGGCGAGAGAGGGAGGGGGAGGGAGAGAGAGGGAGGGGGAGGGAGGGAGAGTGAGAGGGAGAGAGAGAAAGATAGAAATCCTGATTTTATTCCTTGTTTTGTCGTTAATGATTTGAGAATCATAACGAGACCTTTTTTAGTTCTGCACCACATGGTACTTTACCAGTGAGATTAGCTCCACATGGTGAGTTCTGGCGCCCAGATCACAGACTTTGTGATTTAGGGGCTGGAAAAGTAAGTTAGAAATTAAAATAGCTCTGAACTACTGTTATCAGATTATGGCCCTTTAATGATGACAGATTAGGGCCCTTTAATGATGACAGATTAGGGCCCTTTAATGAAGACTGATTAGGGCTCATTAATGATGACCAATTAGGGCCCTTTAATGAAGACTGATTAGGGCCCTTTAATGATGACAGATTAGGGCCCTTTAATGATGACCGATTAGGGCCCTTTAATGATGACAGATTAGGGCCCTTTAATGATGACGATTAGGGCCCTTTAATGAAGACCGATTAGGGCCCTTTAATGATGACTGATTAGGGCCCTTTAATGAAGACCGATTAGGGCCCTTTAATGATGACTGATTAGGGCCCTTTAATGATGACCGATTAGGGCCCTTTAATGAAGACCGATTAGGGCCCTTTAATGATGACTGATTAGGGCCCTTTAATGATGACCGATTAGGGCCCTTTAATGATGACAGATTAGGGCCCTTTAATAATGACCGATTAGGGCCCTTTAATGAAGACCGATTAGGGCCCTTTAATGATGACAGATTAGGGCCCTTTAATAATGACCGATTAGGGCCCTTTAATGATGACTGATTAGGGCCCTTTAATGATGACAGATTAGGGCCCTTTAATGAAGACTGATTAGGGCCCTTTAATGAAGACTGATTAGGGCCCTTTAATGAAGACTGATTAGGGCCCTTTAATGAGGACTTGAGAATCAATTTATATATATCCACACATGTTTAGATCCCTCTTGCGCAGACAGAGCACACAGAGCACAGAGACCACAAAGAGCAGACAGAGCACACAGAGAAGACAGAGCACACAGAGCAGACAGAGCAGACACAGAGCACACAGAGCAGACACAGAGCAGACACAGAGCACACAGAGCAGACACAGAGCAGACACAGAGCAGACACAGAGCACACACAGAGCAGACACAGAGCACACAGAGCAGACACAGAGCACACAGAGCAGACACAGAGCACACAGAGCTCCTCCGTGAGCCTCAGTCTAAGATGTAAAGTGCATTAATTGCAGTAAAGTGCTGCGAGGCGCTTGTTGATGCACTCGGTGGTTTGCTCACGGATCTTGGTGCCGAGCGCAGCAGCACTTTGGGGAGTTATGGGATGGAGCCTGGCACACACAGAGAAACAGTCTGTATCCAGGTCTGTACAAATCTGCTCTGATCACAAACACGCGCACTGGGAGCAGGCTGAGCGCAGGACTTCTGTCGGAGCGGCCTGGACCGGATCAGTGCGGCTCCAGAGACACGTCAGGAACACAAGAACCAGGATCACAATGTACAACAGCTCTGACTGCAGACACTGCTCCCTCTTCACCACTGTCTGATACAGCTCTAGTCTATCTCTCTGGTCTCTCTCTCTCTGGTCTCTCACTGGGCTCTTTTTGCTTTCTCTCTGGTCTCTCTCTGGTCTCTCCCTGGTCTCTCTCTGGTCTCTCTCTGGTCTCTCTCTGCTTTCCCTCTGGTCTCGCTCTGGTCTCTCCCTGGTCTCTCTCTGATCTCTCTCTGGTCTCTCTTTGGTCTCTCCCTGGTCTCTCTCTCTAGTCTCTCTCTGGTACCTCTCTGGTCTCACTCTGGTATCTCACTGTTCTCTCTCTGGTCTCTCTCTGGTCCCTCTCTGGTTTCTCTCTGGTCTCTCTCTCTGGTCTCTCTCTGGTCTCTCTCTCTGGTCTCTCACTGTTCTCTCTCTGGTCTCTCTCTGGTCTTTCTCTCTGGTCTCTCTCTGGTCTCTCTTTGGTCTCTCACTCTGGTCTCTCTTTGGTCTCTCTCTCTGGTCTCTCTCTCTCTGGTCTCTCTTTGGTCTCTCACTCTGGTCTCTCTTTGGTCTCTCTCTTTGGTCTGTCTCTCTGGTCTCTCTCTCTTTGGTCTCTCTCTCTGGTCTCTCTCTCTTTGGTCTCTCTCTTTGGTCTCTCACTCTGGTCTCTCTTTGGTCTGTCTCTCTGGTCTCTCTCTCTTTGGTCTCTCTCTCTGGTCTCTCTCTCTTTGGTCTCTCTCTTTGGTCTCTCTCTCTGGTCTCTCTCTCTCTGGTCTCTCTGGTCTCTCTTTGGTCTCTCTCTGGTCTCTCTCTGGTCTCTCTTTGGTCTCTCTCTCTGGTCTCACTCTCTGGCGTCTCTCTGTTCTCTCGGTCTCTGACATCGGCCGCTGCTCCCTCAGTCTGTACAGATTAAAGACTCCCTGATGAAAAGTGCATTGTTCAGATTAACAGCCTCTTGTTCTCACTCTTCCTAATCCAGCTCCAATCCATTAGCTAATCTGAGCTAATCTTAGCTAACTGAAGCTAATTGGAGCTAACATTTCTGTCATGTGGCAAAAGGAAATTAACCCATAACGCAGAACTGCAAAAATGATGGATTGAATAAAAGTAAAACAAAACAAAATCCAGAGGAAAAAAAACACTAAAAGTAACAAAACAAGGACTAACACGAGATGTCCCGTGGATTTTAGCTAACAAACTAAATCACCTGTGAACGGCTAACTTTGTTATGTAAATAAGGCCATTATCACAGGCTGAGCTGAAGTTGCTGAACCACTTGCTCCGGCTTCAGTTTCTTGATATTTGGATTGAACCAGAACAGATTATTTTACTTTCACATTTTCCGACAAACTACAACCAGCAAATTCAGCACAAACTCTTGACGTCACCGATAACGACCTACAACACCCGCCTCCCCCGCTCTCTGATTGGTCGGATTCAACCGAGGAAACTGCAGCCACTAGGATCAGACCCAGACGTACATGTAGGAAATGACCATGGACCAGAGTTTACACATGGTAAGACCAGACGTACATGTAGGAAATGACCATGGACCAGAGTTTACACATGGTAAGACCAGACGTACATGTAGGAGATGATCATGGACCAGAGTTTACACATGGTAAGACCAGACGTACATGTAGGAAATGATCATGGACCAGAGTTTACACATGGTAAGACCAGACGTACATGTAGGAAATGACCATGGACCAGAGTTTACACATGGTAAGACCCAGACGTACATGTAGGAAATGACCATGGACCAGAGTTTACACATGGTAAGACCCAGACGTACATGTAGGAAATGATCATGGACCAGAGTTTACACATGGTAAGACCAGACGTACATGTAGGAAATGATCATGGACCAGAGTTTACACATGGTAAGACCAGACGTACATGTAGGAGATGATCATGGACCAGAGTTTACACATGGTAAGACCAGACGTACATGTAGGAAATGATCATGGACCAGAGTTTACACATGGTAAGACCAGACATACATGTAGGAAATGATCATGGACCAGAGTTTACACATGGTAAGACCAGACGTACATGTAGGAAATGATCATGGACCAGAGTTTACACATGGTAAGACCAGACGTACATGTAGGAGATGATCATGGACCCGAGTTTACACATGGTAAGACCAGACGTACATGTAGGAGATAATCATGGACCAGAGTTTACACATGGTAAGACCAGAAATACATGTAGGAGATGATCATGGACCAGAGTTTACACATGGTAAGACCAGAAGTACATGTAGGAGATGATCATGGACCAGAGTTTACACATGGTAAGACCAGACGTACATGTAGGAAATGATCATGGACCAGAGTTTACACATGGTAAGACCAGACGTACATGTAGGAGATGATCATGGACCAGAGTTTACACATGGTAAGACCAGACGTACATGTAGGAGATGATCATGGACCAGAGTTTACACATGGTAAGACCAGACGTACATGTAGGAGATGATCATGGACCAGAGTTTACACATGGTAAGACCAGAAGTACATGTAGGAAATGATCATGGACCAGAGTTTACACATGGTAAGACCAGAAGTACATGTAGGAAATGATCATGGACCAGAGTTTACACATGGTAAGACCAGACGTACATGTAGGAGATGATCATGGACCAGAGTTTACACATGGTAAGACCCAGACATACATGTAGGAAATGATCATGGACCAGAGTTTACACATGGTAAGACCCAGACATACATGTAGGAAATGATCATGGACCAGAGTTTACACATGGTAAGACCAGACGTACATGTAGGAGATGATCATGGACCAGAGTTTACACATGGTAAGACCAGACGTACATGTAGGAGATGATCATGGACCAGAGTTTACACATGGTAAGACCAGACGTACATGTAGGAAATGATCATGGACCAGAGTTTACACATGGTAAGACCAGACGTACATGTAGGAGATGATCATGGACCAGAGTTTACACATGGTAAGACCAGACGTACATGTAGGTGATGATCATGGACCAGAGTTTACACATGGTAAGACCAGACGTACATGTAGGAGATGATCATGGACCAGAGTTTACACATGGTAAGACCAGACGTACATGTAGGAAATGATCATGGACCAGAGTTTACACATGGTAAGACCCAGACGTACGTGTAGGAAATGATCATGGACCAGAGTTTACACATGGTAAGACCCAGACATACATGTAGGAAATGATCATGGACCAGAGTTTACACATGGTAAGACCAGACGTACATGTAGGAGATGATCATGGACCAGAGTTTACACATGGTAAGACCAGAAGTACATGTAGGAAATGATCATGGACCAGAGTTTACACATGGTAAGACCCAGACATACATGTAGGAAATGATCATGGACCAGAGTTTACACATGGTAAGACCAGACGTACATGTAGGAGATGATCATGGACCAGAGTTTACACATGGTAAGACCAGACGTACATGTAGGAGATGATCATGGACCAGAGTTTACACATGGTAAGACCAGACGTACATGTAGGAGATGATCATGGACCAGAGTTTACACATGGTAAGACCAGACGTACATGTAGGAAATGATCATGGACCAGAGTTTACACATGGTAAGACCCAGACATACATGTAGGAAATGATCATGGACCAGAGTTTACACATGGTAAGACCAGACGTACATGTAGGAGATGATCATGGACCAGAGTTTACACATGGTAAGACCAGACGTACATGTAGGAAATGATCATGGACCAGAGTTTACACATGGTAAGACCCAGACGTACGTGTAGGAAATGATCATGGACCAGAGTTTACACATGGTAAGACCAGACGTACATGTAGGATATGATCATGGACCAGAGTTTACACATGGTAAGACCCAGACGTACATTTAGGAAATGATCATGGACCAGAGTTTACACATGGTAAGACCATACGTACATGTAGGAGATGATCATGGACCAGAGTTTACACATGGTAAGACCAGACGTACATGTAGGTGATGATCATGGACCAGAGTTTACACATGGTAAGACCAGACGTACATGTAGGAGATGATCATGGACCAGAGTTTACACATGGTAAGACCAGACGTACATGTAGGAAATGATCATGGACCAGAGTTTACACATGGTAAGACCAGACGTACATGTAGGAAATGATCATGGACCAGAGTTTACACATGGTATGACCAGGGTACAGTGAACCAGACCTGGTCCAGTTACACTTTGACCAATGAGCAGAGAAAGAGTAATCTTAAAGAGTAACTTGAACCATAAATACAGAGTTATGTCTGTTGGCTCTAGCACAGTTCTTCTCTCCACAGTCGGCCTCTGTTCAGATAAACCACTGGACACAAAGAAAGTGTTTTTTAGAAATATATATATTTGATAAAGGCCGCGTTAAAGAGGAGCAGGATGGTCTCTGCCTCCACCACCTCCTCTCTCCTCTCTCCCACCTCCTCTCTCCTCTCTCCCACATCCTCTCTCCTCTCTCCCACCTCCTCGGTCCTAAGTCCTCATTCCTCCTCTCTCTCCTCGCTCTCCCCTCCCCCTCTCTCTCCTCTCCTCCTCTCTCCTTTCTCTCTCCTCCCTCCTTCCCCTCTCCTCTCTCTCTTCTCCTCCTCCCCCCTCCTCTCCCTCTCTCCTCTCTTCTCCTCTCCTCCTCTCTCCTTTCTCTCTCCTCCCTCCTTCCTCTCTCCTCCTCTCTCTCTTCTTCTCCTCTCTCTCTCCCCTTTCCTCCTCTCTCCTCTCTCCTCCAT